GATAGATAGATAGATAGATAGATAGATAGATAGATAGATAGATAGATAGATAGATAGATAGATAGATGGATAGATAGGTATAAATGATGGACAGATAGATATGGATGATAGGTGGATAGATAGACAGATAGTTTTATCATTCTAATCATCTTTTTAACTACTTCTTTTTGCTGGACAGCTGGGGGCCTCTGGGAGGAGAACATGGTATTTGCTGTCAGGTGTGATAGCTATTTGTTTCATTTTGTTTCCCCAGGAAGGCTGAAGGTAGGGGTAGGGCTGAAGGAGGAAGGGGTAGAGTCAGAAATGATAGTGATATAAAAACAGAGGGCATCAATAAAATTTAAAATAAATTCTTTTTTGATCAATGGCATTTCTGACCTTGTATACAAACAGGTCAACAGTTTCCCTCCAATCCCTACTGTTCTGAGATTTTACTCATTTGTTTTTGTTCAGATGTGTCCAACTCTTCATGACCCCCACTTGGGATTTTCTTGGCAAAGATATTGAAGTGGTTTGTCATTTCCTTCTCCAGCTCATTTTACAGAGGAGGAATCGGAGGCACACAGGGTTACGTGACTTGCCTAGGGTCATACAGCTAGTGTCTGAGGCCAGATTTGAACTCAATTCTCCTTGACTCTAGACTCAGAGCTCTATCACTGTACCACCTAGATACCCAATTAGGGCATTTAGGAACCACCAGAATGATTAGAACTCTTGCCAGACATTATGTCAATATCTCAAGGATGTAATATCTTACTTTGGAAAGAGCATTAACTCTAGAATCAAAGAACCTAGGTTCAAATACTGTCACTAATGATGTGACCTTGAGCACAAGACACTTCAATTCACTGGGCCTTTTTTTCCCTATCTGTAAAATGAGGAGGTTGGATTAGATAGTCTCAGCAAGGCAGATCTGTGTTCACAGAAGGACCTGTGATTTCCTTGCTATACCAATTCATCTGTCCCTGACAATCTCAGAAAGCTGCCTAAGGCACACAGTGCAAGAGGCAAGTTCACACCCAGGTCTTACCAGCTTCCTAACTCCATGATCAATCCTCTATTACACACCTCCAAGAACATTTCTCTGCTCAATGAGGCCAAGTGAAAATTTGGGGCCAAGAACTGTCATTTTCCTTCAGTGGAGGCAAAAATGAACCAGTCCCCAGACTATTTGTACAATGAGAAAATATGCTGATCCCTCTGAGGTCCCTGCCAGCTCTAAGAGTCTGGGAGTCTGTAATAGCTTAAAACTTCTTTTAAGCGGAGAAATCTCTCCTAAAATACGTTGGCCAGAAGATGGCACTGCCAGAACCAGCAATTTAGAGCTGGAAGGGATCTTATAGGCCACTGAGTTCAACCGCCCTTTTTACAGATGAGACTGAGGCTCAGGGAGGTGATGAGATTTTTTTAAATTAGCTAATAAATAGTAAACATGGGATTTAAACTCAGATCTTCTTGACTCAAAGTACAGTACTAGCCAGGATGCCACCTGCCTCTCTGGGGCCTTGATATTGGAAAGTGGTTGGAGAGGATTGTTTTAAACCTGCTGCCCTTTACAGACCATGATAGGTCATGGATCCCCTCCACCCCCCCCCCCCCAGCACGCATGGGCTGCTTGGGGGAAATGTGACCCTGACCCGTGGGAACCCCCCTGGGGTGGGAAAGGGATCTGAGAAGGGGCAGAGACCTGGATACTCTGAATTTTCTTGTTCAACATCTCCATGTCATTGTTCAGCTCTGTGACGTAGTTGAACTGAGCAAAGTTCTTCTCTTCCTGAGCCACGAAGTCTGTCACCAATCGTTCCAAGTCCCCATGCTCAGACAGCTTGAGCAGGCGCATGTGGGCTACCTCGTAACTCTGGAAGCTCTCTCCCTTGGGTGTCCTGTGGTGCTTGCTGGCCTTGAGGGCTGGACAAGACAGTGAGCCCACCCCTTGCTGGCATCTTCCCTTCAAGGAGAGCCAGCCCATGGCATGGGGAAATGTCCTCCATTCTCCCTGGGGAGAATCTGTGGTCTTGAGGGAATGCTTGCCCTGAGGGCAAACCCTTCACCTCGGGAGAGGGGTGTCTTCACTCTTCCCTGATAAAAAGCCTGTGGCCCTGAGGGACCCGTGCCTCTTGAGGGATTTGAGTGAGAACCTAAAGGCCTGATAGACTCTTAGAGCTGACCTGCGGGAGGTGAGTTTGCCTCCCTTCTTTCCTGAAAGAGATCCACTGCGCGCCCTACAGTACCTTCCCCTATTCTCTAGGGGAGTCTGCAGTCCCAAAGGGCCACTTGCCTTGAGGGTCACCTCTGGCACTCATACAGTCTGGCAGGTTTGCCTCTATCCTCCTCTGAGGGAGAGTCCAAGCCTTGAAGGACACCTGGATACCCCCAAGGCCCTGAATGGCTGTGGAGGTGGGCTTCTTCATTGTTTTCCCAAAGAATTGTAGCCCTGGGATTCTTCCAACTCTCTTTTTCCCCACACAGAGACTCACTCAACCTAGAGCAGGGGTTCCTAATTATTTTTGTGTCATGGACCCTTTATAATCTGTTGAAACCTATAGATTTCTTCTCAGGATTTTGTTACTCAGTTGTTTCAGTCATGTCCTACTTTTTGTGACCCTATTTGGGGTTTTCTTGGTAAAGATACTGGAATGGTTTGTTATTTCCTTGTTCAGCTCATTTGACAGATGAGGAAACTGAGGCAAACAGGGTTAAATGACTTGCTCAGGGTCACATAGCTACTAAGTGTCTGAGGCTGGATTTGAACTCAGGTCCTCCTGACACCAGGGCCCCACCTTGCTGCCCCCCTTCTCAGAATAATGTTTTTTAAATACATAAGATAAAATACATTGGATTATAATATGGAAATAGGTGTTCTGTGTGTGTGTGTATATATATATGTATGTATGTATGTATGTGTATGTATATACATATATAAATATATATATTTCCCAGATCCCGAGGTTAAGATCCTCTAGACCCAGAAGGCCTTCTTCCCTTCTTTATCCAGGGAGACCCTGGAGTAGAGGTGGTGGGGATCTTCCTGGAAAATGGAAGAAACTAGCTTAAGTGGAATCCATGCACTTACCATGTAATGTTATGTATTATACAGAGGGATAGGGACTGGTGCTGTGGTTTCATAAGTACAGGGAACTCCCAAGTGAGGAACTCCCTCCACCAGTGCAGGTCAGCTCTTTCCTCTGCAATTTCAATAGTCTTAGAGAGTTACCTAGAGCATTGAGAGGTCAGGTATCTTGCCCAGGGTCCCATAGTCAGTGTGTGTCCTAGGTGGGACTTGAACCCAAGTCTTCCAGAATTGGAGGCCAGGTCTCTATCTGATGGGGTTGGGTTCTGGGCCCCAGAAAGGAAAAATACTAGACTTTCCCACATGGCCAAACCTGGAATTTTCCTGAGGCTATAATCCCGTCAACTGGCCTTTCATTGTGACTACACCCAATCTCCCCTCCATTGTCTTACCTCCCTATGGCCCCTGGCCATTTCCCACCCTTAATCTTAGCTAGGCTCCATTCTCCCTTGGCCACGAGGCTCAGGTCCCAGGAGTTCTGTTCACCCCAGCTTACTGGCCACTCCTAGATCCCTCCCACAGTCTTTCTGTATATAAGGTCCATCTTGCCTCCATTAAGATGCTCAGATTCTTATAATCTAGCCACTGTTCAGATTCTTATAATCTAGTCATGGCTCTGATTCTTAAAATCTAGCCACTGCTTAGATTCTTCAAATCTAGCCATGGCTCTGATTCTTAAAATCTAGCCACTGCTCAGATTTGTATAATCTAGCTATGGCTCTGATTCTTAAAATCTAGCCACTGCTCAGATTCTTATAATCTAACCACTGCTTACCCATGTTCAGACTCCTTAAGAGTCTGCCCAATATGACGGATGTTCTAATAAACCTTGTCTTTGGCTGAAAGAAGGCTTGGGTCGAATTATTTTGGGCAGGACCCTCGTGTTGGGATTTTGGGGTCCCAGGACCCCTGAACCCTTAAACTACATCATTTCCACCCACATGCCTACACAGTAGGGGCTAAATAAATATTTGCTGATTGATTTGATTTGTTTCTTATCACCATCCACCGCCCCTTTACTAGGTAAAGGCAAGGACCACACCTTATCTCAACATTGTATATCCCTTGGGCTTCCAGTACATCAGCAGACACTTAAATTTGTTTGTAGAATGAATTAAGTTACTTGAGCAGAGATCAGCTCAAAAATAGTAGGAGGGATGGGGAGAAGGAGGCTTGAGGACAGGCATATAAAGCCCAGAACCTGGTAGAAAGGGCTGGACTGGAGTTCTTATTTCTGTATCATTCTGTCACCATTGCCACAAAAATGACCCAGGTGGAGACAAGTTCCTCAGACCTCCTCAAGGGCCAGCACCATTATTGTGATTGGCAATAATAATGATGATGGTGATGATGACCAGTATATTTTAAGGTTATAAGCACTTTGTGAATATTATCTCATTTTCTCCTCATAACAATGCTGGAAGATTGGTGCTATTATCATCTCATTTGACAGATGAGAAAACTGAGGCAGATAGAGGTTAAGTGACTTGCCCAGGTCACACAGTCAGTAAGCATCTGATGTAGGATTTGAATACAGGTCGAGCTCTCTAGACACTGCTGCCTCTCATCAGCAATGACAGCAGAGCTGGGATGTGAGAACACAAGTTCTCCAACTCTTCCCTTCACCCATCCAGGGTCTGTCTTTCCATTACACTACACTACATTAGCATGAGATTAGAAACTGGCAGTAATCTACAGACCATTCCCTGAGGGGTAGCTGTACCTTCTTCCTTTTTGAACTGTTCCTCAAATTCACTCCGATCCTTAAGTTTGATGAATAAGAAGGACTTCAGCTTTGTTTCATGGTCATGAATGCGTTCCAGCTCTCTAATCTCCATTTTGTATTGGGAGATGTCTTTTTGCCGTCGATCCTTCATGGCAGCCATTCGGGCCATGGCTTCCAGCCTAGGCAGGGAGAGACGCAAAGCTGGGGACCTCAGCAGCTTTCCTCCATCCCCATCTCCATTGGAGACTACAGCCACTCTCCTCATCCCTGCTTTCCCCTAGAAGAACCAGCTGTCCTTCCCACTGATCAGAGACACTCAACTTTGTCCCAGGTGAATGCTGGCTCTTCTAACACAGGAAGTCAAGAAGCTTCAGAAGCTCCCTATTGCCTCTTGGCTAATATGCCAGCTCCTTTGCCTGACCACTTAAAAGCCCTTTACAGTCTGGCTCCAAGCTATCTTTGCAGACTGATTTCATCTCCATCTCATATATGCTGGGTTTCAGCCAAACAGACTTACTTACTATTCCCCATACATGACATTCCATCTCTCAGTTCCATGTCTTTGTACAGACTGTGCCTCCTGCCTAGAATCCATGCTGAATTGATGTGTTTGTCTCTTATTTGGACCTCCCCTTCCCACATGGCCAGTATTTATAAAGCCCTTTAAGGTTTTCAAAGTACTTTATATATGTTAACTCCTTTGATCCTTACACAACGACCCTATTATATCATTATCTTCATTTTATAGATGAGAAAACTGAGGCTGAAAGTGTTGAATAAAGTGACTTCTCCAGGATCACACAGCTAACAAATATGTGAGGCAGGAGTCTAACTTTAGTCTTCCTAACTCCCAAGTCTTGGGCTCTGTCCACTGTACCACCTAGGTTGCCATAAAACCTCAAACTCAGGTACCACCAACTTACATATGAAGCTGTTCCTGATTTCTCTTTCCAACTCCTGCTAAATTGTTAGTACTCTCCATATCTACCCTGGAAAATTATTTTGTATATTTAGGGCACCATATAAGACTGTAAGTGCAGAGAAAGCACCAATTTTGATAGAGGGGATTTCCTTAAAAATGGTCTCTTGTGCCAATGAAATTACAGGTCCCTATCTTATCATATGTTTTATATTTACTTAACTTTCTAGATAAATGATATAGAGGATAGGGTTAGGAAAAATCTGGATTGGAATTCTGCCTGCCCCAGACTTTTACTAGCTATGTGGCCCTAGGGAAGTCAAACTTCATTTATCACTTTCAACCTCAGTTTCCTCATCTGCAAAATGGAGATGATAATAACACCTACCTCAAAGAGTTGTTGTGAGGATCAAATGAAGATAATCTATGGAAAGCACTTTACCAACCATAAAGGGCCATATGTTAGCTATTATTATGTTGTATCTTTCTAGTGGAATATGAGCTCCTTGAGGGCAGGAACTCCATTTTTGTCTTCATATACTGAGCGCCTAAGCATAATGCATGCCACATAGGAGGCCTCAAAAGTGGTTAAATTGGATTGAATTGGATTGGATTGTTGTGTTTTGAATTGTAATTCTCTGAAATCTGTTGCTTCTTGGCAGCTCTCGGTGTGGTTGACAAGGGTACGTGAGAAGACAGTGAGCTCTTATTCCCACCAAAGAAACATTTCATTCAATGCTCCGTCAGTCCTAGAGGGTCCAAGAATAGAATCAAAGAATATCAGAGTAGAAGATCTTATCCATTCTCACCATCCCATTTTAACATAAGGAAACTGGAACCAACAGACCTGAAAAGACCTTCCCTAAGGCTGCACAGTTAAGTTAAAATCAAGTCTCCCTTGAACTTAACTTTCTCTCATTTAAGCTAGTCCTTTCCAAATCAGTCTTGATATTATTATATCTTAATAGAAAAGTAATAGAATTGGTTACTCCCAAATTTATTTCAGTACTTACTGAAACCAGACAGGATTTGCTCAGAATTTAAAAACATGAATAGTGCCGGTTCAGCAGACTTTATTGGCTTGGTAGCTAATTAAATTCAAGAAGCATTTATTAAGCAACTACTATGTGCTAGGCACTCTCTTCTAGGTTTTGGCAACACAAAACAAAGTGAAATAGTGTCTTCCCTTAAGGGGCTTACATTCTATTGGGGAGGAAAAAAACCCATATACACAGATCAGTGAGCCTTTCCATCTATCTGAGTATGCCAAGTGCCCCAAATCAGTTGATCATATCCCAAAAAGGGAAAGCACTTAAGAAAGGGAGGTGGGATAAAAATAGCATTTTTTAGAAAGGGATGTTACAAAGTTAGGTCACTGAAATTAAGAGAAGATAGAAGCAGTAGAAGCAAGAGAGTAGTAAATAGTCAACGGGAAGATGTCACACTCTTCTCTTGACTAGGAAAGAGAAGGATAAAATGAGAAAGAGAATAATAAAAGCAGCTAAAAGAAATTGAGGCTGGTAGGATAATGGGAGGGTTATTAGATCTCTTTCCTTGGTTATTGGGAAGAGAGCTGGATCAGATCTGTATAATCAAAACAAACCACAGGAATAAAGTGCTGACAGAAAAGAGGGGAGGAAAAACAACATAAAGGAATTTAATAGGGAAAAAATTCAGGCTTAAAATCTGTGATTCTAAATGTAAATGGATTAAACTCCCCAATTTAAAAAAAAAGGTGATGTAATGGATTAAAAAAAAAACCCTAACCATGTATGGCATACAAGAAAAATATTTAAAACCTAGATATACAGTGAAAATAAGGAGACCGGACTAATTCTATTATTCTTCAGGCCAAACCAATTGATTAAGATTAGTCAGTTGCAGACTCAGACTTTATCTCATGTCCCTTCCCAGTAGCCCACAAACTTTTCTTCTGGGGAAGGATATGTTACTTTCTAGCCCTCATGATGGAAATGGAGGAAGCTATTGACAACTCTTCTCACCAGCATCAGTACGGCTTCCTACTGAGGCTTCAAGTCTCCCAGTAACAAGGCTCTTTGTTACTCTGGCAACAAGGTAGCATCTGCCACTCATCAGGGAGGATTCAGTTAGACTATTTCTGTCATAATACCAAATCACTTACAAGGCAAGACTCTTCTACACTGTTTCTCCATCTTAAATCCAAAGTACCTCAAGTTATTCAGACTTGGCAGACAAATGGAGGGTTCCTAACCTCCCAAGCTCATAGCCCAGCTCCTTTGATGAGAAAACAAAGACAAGAGCTTTGACATTGTGAGATAGCTATTGATGAGAACAGTGCCTCATGGGGAGCAGATGTCTCTCACTCAAGATGGCTGCAGCAAATTTCTGAGTTTGATCTCATTTCCAGCTGGAGAAGTAGACAGAGAACCATGGTGATTATCCTCATTTGACAGAAGAGAAAAAGGCTGACAGAATGGCTCAAGACCCCATTGTAAGAAAGGAAGTCTGAAAACCATAGACATAACCCAGAGTTCTGGACTGGCCATTCACTACTTTTCTTCTGTCCTTTCTTTTTTAACCAACAAATAGCCACCATTGTAAGTGAGTTTAAAGTAGTTCTTCATTTTAAGTAAGCTTCACTGAACAGAATTTGGACCTAATATAATATATTTATAATAAATATATAATAAAATAACCCCTGATTTATTAAACTTGAGGTCTGAATTTCAGGCGATAGATATAATCTCATGTTGGTTAGCCTCCAACTGCCCATGTGACCTTGGGCAAATCACTTGACCTGCTTGGCCCTCAGTTTCCTTACTGGTAAAATGAGAGCGTTCGCCCAAACGAGGAGTTTAAGTGACTTGCCCAAGGTCACAGGTAGTAACCATCACAGGTGAGATGTGAACATTAGCAGTGCCCTTTCCACTGAACTACTCTCATTCTAAACTAAAAAAAAAAGGTGCAAGTTGAGTGAACCAAGCCCCAGAAACTGGTACTCCAGAGGAATCAAGGGAGCCCTACACATTCAACTGAACATTCTATTTATTAAGCACCTATTATGTGCAAAGCACATAGGTGGGAGGTAGTATGCTACAGCTGTAAACTTGGAGTCAGAAAGACCTGATTTCAAATTCTTCCTCTGACACTAACTATGACCCTAGCCAGGTCACTAATCTCTCAGGGTTTCAGGCCATTCTCTAGGACGTAGTTTTCTATATGCATGGATGGAGGAAGTTCCCACCTCAGAACTTTCCCATACTGACAAAATCGCAGCCTTTCCCCATATATGAATATAAACAAGTCATTTCGTTAGGTGCTAGGGATGCACAGAACCCAGCAGTCCACAAAATACTAAAAACAGGATCGTAATATCATAGACTTAGAACTAGAAGAGATCTCAGAGGAAATCTAATCCAACTCCCTCATTTTACAGATGAAGAAACTGAGACCTAGAACTGTTGGTTGTTCTGCCCAAGGGCACACAGGTAGCAACAGAACCTGGATTTGAAGCCAGGACTACAGAATAGAGTATTCTATTCTTAGGACCCAAAACTAAGCATTCCCAGAACTACAAAAGCCAGAAACTCATGGGCTTGGCCACCACATTCACCCTCTTTTTCAGTGAAGGTTTGCAGCATAGATAGATAGACAGACAGATAGATAGATAGATAGATAGATAGATAGATAGATAGATAGATAGA